TTTATGGTATAAATATGGGGGAAAATACATAGAATCTACAGGAAATCTACAGGAAATCTACAGGAAACCATAGAATTCACATATTTCAATAGTTGGTTTGAAAATCTACAGGAAACCATAGATTTTCCCATTAAATATGGGGGTTTCCGGTTAAAATTTTCCCGTGAAAACCAATCCATTGAATATTGGGAGAATCTATAGGGGATACTCTCTGGATATTTGTGACATAGCTATTGAAAACGGGCCAGTCGAAATAGTGGATTTACCCATTGCAAATGGAGATTTTCCATAGTTATGTTAGTTTACCAGAGGGTATGTATAATTGATTTTGTTACTTTTTTGGGGGTTCTTAAGAAAATCCATAAAATGAGTGTGGTCCTGTGTGGTGCAATGATGTGCAGTTTCTTAACTCCGGAGAACCCCTCGGGATGTTCAGTGGGTAGGAATCAACCAGGCTTCGTAAAGAAAACGGGTTAACATTGGTGTTTTTGTTGGCTGTGTGCTGTATACAATTCCTCAACTATATGTTTAACTAATGTTCGTTTGGTCAATCTTAGATGGGTAGAAACTAATCCGAACTAGTCTTTTGCTATGGGATTATCAATGGATTATCTAGGTTCACCAGTTAAGAATTTGTTGAAAATTGTAGTAGCTAGGGTATCAAAAATATCAAAGATTGGCCATGTTGGCCATGTCTTTCTTTTTTTCGCTGCACTACATCAAGTGCTTGCCCTCAGAATCATGGCATAAGTTTTCGCTAGTCCTGGAGGGTCAACTTGGTGCATCCCAGTTTGTAAATGGCTCATACTCCCAGCTATATAGATACATGATACATATATATATATATACATATATATATATATACACATAGAATTATACTATGGGATGAACTAGAAGCTCTATATATACAGTATATACATGGATGAAATAAACCACGGATCCAAAGTGGGGCAGCCGTGCCTTTCTAAGGTCGCCCTGTGCGAGCCACATCGGCATGTCGCGAGCTCGGACACGGAGTTCACCTCAGCATGGTTTGGCTTTCGGAAAGAGTTAGGCAATGTTAAGCAGAGAACATGAACCAACAGGATATATATATATATATAATTTTATATATACATTTATGTACATATATAATCATATATATATGATTATATGTATATATATAATACAAAATCTGAAAATAGAATCTATCCTCATTCCAAGATGTTTTTCTCCATATGTTTCTCAAGGGAACTGAAGCTCCCTGGAACGTCGAGGCCATGGCAAGAGGATTCCAAGGAAGCCGCCATGGAATTTGCCAATCGTGGTATGTGCCGACGACATGCCAACTGCTGTGGGTTGTCATTGACCGATGTTCTTTTTTTTTTCGGAAACAAATATAGAGGCTGGTTGAAAGTTCCAGTTACACCGCTTAAAAAAAATAGCATTGACGCATATATTGGTGGTTTGGAACTGATTGGTGGTTTGGAACATGATTTTTATTTTTCCATTCAGTTGGGGACATTTCATCATCCCAACTGACGCACTCACTCACTCCATCATTTTTTCCAGAGGTCAACCAACAAGCAGGTCATTAATAAGCATACACCATATCTATTGATTATTATATAACCATATTATCCCATTAATATCCCATACATTTCCAGAGGGGTTGGGGTCAAGCACCAGTCGTTATGACTTGCGTCGAGTCGATGTTTCTCTGTGATGTCTGGAAGGTGAAGGCCGCGGAGAATATGTGTAATATAGGATATAACATATAATATACATATATATATATATACACGATGATATATATATATATACAATAATATATCTAAAATATAATATATATATATATATATTCTATATATATATATATTCAATATATATATATATATACAGGAAACGACAGAATTATGGAAAAACAAAACCGTTTCAATTTACAGGCGCCGCCTGTCTATGATAGAAAAGTTACGAACCTTTTTTTTTTCCATAGTTATTTTTTCCATAATTATTTTTTTTCCATAATTCTGTCGGTGAGTGACTGTATGTCCATCGATTCGCAATTTGAATGCATTTTAAGGGGGAATATTGAATTATAGAAAATATGTGTCTAAAGATCTGGTATATGCCCCTAAGTCTTCCATAGTGGTACCAACAAAGGAAAAACAATTGCACCACCAAAACTCATTGTTGTACGTACATACATATGCGGGATGTATCCTTTTGCCAAGCCACCAATTGGGTTGATACTACATACTTGCATTTGCATACATATTTCCATAACCCCCCAAAAAAAGGGGTTTGAATTGTGGATCCATGACATGTCCAACAGGTGGAGCCCCAAACATTAATTATGGAAAAAATAATTATGGAAAAAATAATTATGGAAAAAATAATTATGGAAAAACCGGTCAATCTGCCCTAGCCCCCTGATTTTACAGGAAAAAACAATTATGGAAATAATGGCCACCTCCAAGAATTATGGAAAAAAAAGGTTCGGATCACTTCCGGGATATTTTGAACCCTTATGGGGAAAAACCTAATTATGGAAAAATCGGACGCAGGCGCCGCCTGTCTAAGTTGAACGTTTTTTTTTTCCATAATTCTGTCGGTGACCATATATATAAGTAAGTAAAATGGAGTCTCCAATAATCTTCCCCAATGTCAAAAACTGTCCGCTTGTTGTAAGAAGAACCACAGAAGTGTGGTGCAGAAGGATCTCAGATTGAAGTTCTTCCCTTGCTGCTGATGGCTTAGAACCAAGGTTCCACGACATTTTCTCAAGAGAAAAGACATATCAAAAAATGGTTTGAAGTCAGATTCTTTCATATTCTTTTATGCGTCACTTGCCACACCAAGAGCAATATATCCATAATTTTGCATAGTGTCGATGTCTGAAGCTGTTTTATACTGATTTTAAACAGAGTTTGCATATGCAGAGACGCAATGGGCGAAATTAGCGATACCCCTAGCGGTACCTTAGCGATACCAACTTGGTCAAAAGGCAGCCCCGACCACAGATAGACGATATTCCCTCTCTTCCTTTCCTCTTCCTTTCCTCTTCCTTTCCTTACACCGATCATTCATTTCAGCTGGTGGCCCAGGAAATGAAGTCGGAAAGCAAAAAACAAAACCAACAACCGAGTTTTGGCGTTCACTCAAGTTGACCAGCTTGGCTGCCGTGCACATATTGTGCATTCCATTTGCTGCGATGTGTTCCTCCATCATTTTCACAAGTACAAAACATAACAAAATTATGTGTAGCGAGCCCTTCAACTTACTTTTGAGCAAGGCAAAGACAATGAGTTTTGTCGGCGACTGAGTTTTGTCGGCGACGCAGTCAAGGCCCAATCAAAGAGGATAACCCATCACAACAAAACCGCACCTTGGTTGGCTTTTCTATGATTTCACTGGCCTCGATCAGGTATCCAGGTAAGTCCAGCAAATCCCTGCCATTTTGGGGGACGAGACCCCTCAGATCATGGCAGGAGCTTTAGCCTGCACAGTGTTGATTTAATTGATTCAATCCCTTCTTCGTTGTGGCAGGTACGGTATTGAGGTGGTGGGTGCCATTTTCTTGGCACATTTTTTGCGGCTGAACACCTCTTTGACCACGTTCAACTTCAGGCGGAGTCCACATTGGGTATTTGGCGTGTTAGCTTCTGATAATCTCAGCCGGCAAATGGTAAATTCATGGATGTTTTTTTTTTGATTGCCAGGCTAGATATCCATGTGTGTTTGAAACCAATGTTGGATCAGAATGATTGAGGAAAGCAACTCGAAGCAACACGCCTTCTGGCCTTGTGTCTATCCTGGATCCACCATCCCTGGTTCGTTGTTGGGAGAAGATGGCCAAGATGGTATACGAGTGAGAAAATCAAGGGTCGAGATTAATGATTAATGATTAATGATTGTTGACTAATGATGAATTATTATTGATGATTATTGAATAATGTTTGTTGATTATTAGTTGATGATCAATGATGGTTGATTGGTTAATGATTTAATTAATATCAATACGGTATTAATGATTAATGAGTACTAATGGTTAATGAATGTTATATGATTTATGATATCTTTTGTACAGGGAATCTGCAAATCCGAAGAGCTCTTGGGTGATGGGTGGCCATGAGGGCCCCGTTTATGATAGATAAGTCGGTGACCATGACTCCAAGAAGTATGCTTTCTGAATGTTTCATATACACATGAATTCATATATATATACATATCTAATTATATATATATATATGTATATATACTATGCATATATACTGTATACACACATATATATATATATGATGTATAACCAACCAACAAACATCACAGGTTGGTGATGTACCCTACAAGAATCATCCGTAACAGAGCGCAGGCGCGCAGGCTTAGCCGTTCCGATCCGTTTCGATCCATAGGATCCGTGGGATCCTCCAGGTGTTTTTCAGCCAGTAAATTTAGAGCTTGATACTGAAAATTGGTGACTGGAACCATGGAATTTTATGACTTCCCCAGTTGGTTCTTTAGTATGGGACAATGATGGTTAATGATGGTTAAAGATGGTTAATAATGGTTAATAACATCTGGTTGGTGGTTTGGAACCATGGAACTTTATGACTTTCCATTCAGTTGGGAATGTCATCATCCCAACTGACTATTTTTTTTGGAGGGGTTGAAACCACCAACCAGCATATATTATATATACATATTATTATGTATATAGTCCGAATTGATATGTTGATCCTGGAAAATTTTACCCATTGATCCTTAAAAATTTGTCGGTTGATGTCAGTCCAAATTGTTGGAAAGTCATCTTCCAATCCCAAAGTCATGGCGTCGCAGCCCGAGCGGCCGTAGGCTGAACCATGTGGAGAAGGATGGTGCCAAGGCGGGGCGTGCAGATGCGTGCAGCCAAGAAGAATCGTTTTTTTGGATGTGCCATAAACAGATGAATTACCCCAGATATCCAGAAGATCAGCTTATAAACCACAAACAGATTCCACCTACAATTTCTGGCCCCACATCCCATGAAAAACATCGTGAGCAACGCTGCAGCGAGGATTTTCTACCGCATCCACTGCACCACTGGGGTGACTCAATGGTCGAATCCGTGATGATAACTCCCGCAGCCTTGGACAGCCTATATATTCATCATATGTTGATTTCAAAATTAATCCGAGTATATCCAAGATTTATCCAAGTACTCGTAATATCTATATCCAGTATGAAAGAATTCCGTTTTTGCTAGTTATACCCTCTGGTAAACTAACATAACTATGGAAAATCACCATTTTCAATGGGAAAATCCACTATAAATGGCCATTTTCAATAGCTATGTCAGCTATTACCAGAGGGTATCCCATTTCATATCCCATGAAAACAGCAGAGTATGCCAGGCCTTAGCACAAAGTTTGCTGGGCAACGCGCAGACAGTCTTGCAGACGGTGGGGAACTCAATGGTGCTGCTTACACCCAAACACATGATGGGCTATGCGTCGCAACTGCATTGGTAACAGCATTGGCAAAGGAGCCTTTTAGCATCTTTTAGCCACAAACATGCGTTTGTGCGGGTTTCTATGGCAGTGGCAGTCCGCTTTCTTGCATTACTCAAACATTGATTTCTCAGGTGCCTAGGTTTTCTTAGTTTTATCCGAACTATTGCGTCTTGTGCATGTGTATATTATAATATACACTATTATTCATCAGTGTCGTTTTGCTGGTTATCCAATTACATAATATGTAATTATCATATATATATAATATAGATTACTGGCATCTATGCAACCCAAAGGTCTTATGAAGTATATATTGGTTGGTGGTTTGGAACCATGGAATTTTATGTTTCCATATTGGGATTTTCATCATCCCAACTGACTTTCATATTTTTTAGAGGGGTAGGTCAACCACCAACCAGATATGGTTTGTGTGAAAATAGAGCACCACCAGATTTTTTACGGTTCCGCATTAAATTGTCCTCGTAAAATTGCCATTTGTTGGTGTGGATCCCATGTTCAAAGCTCACTATCCCCATTCAAACTCCCATGATCTCCCATGATCATTATCAATCTCCCTCTTTCATGGGGGAATATCCCATGATCAAACCTACAATACATATCAGATTGATATATCGGGTAGGTCACAAACCAGCCAATTTTTTTTAAACACATGTTCTGCACTGAAATCATCTGAAATCCCATTCGAATCACCATTCGAATCACCATCAGATTGTTGATCATATCATCAGATCTCCCCGTTGGATTTCTCGGGGGACCGGGTAGCCAAATGTATAAACCATGTTAGCCATCTACCCCAAAAAACTACCATTTGGGTACCATGATACTTATGGGTACCCAATAACTATAGTTACATCATGTTATATCTACCATAAACATCCATAAACCATATAGAATTCAACCACTTCTCTTCAAAAACTGAACGCGAAATCGAACGGGGGCCCCATTCTGTACCAATCTTCACACCGACAGAGGTAGACCATTTGTAATTGGACCGATGCTTGGAAGCTGTAGACCTCCAACTGTGGGACAAATACGACGGGCCCCCAATAAGCTAACTATGGCGAAGTGGAAAATCAACATGGTTCATTTCATTGCTATACTATAAATCATAAGATATCTATATATTAACTACAAATGGACATGTTCAAAAAAACTATGTGAATAGTTACCAGATGGTATTACCGGTAAGTCGTTGCTACGTCCTTGAACTGTGAAACACAGTTCTCAACGTCGCACAGGTCAACACTATGGGTCCGACTAAGATGAAGTGACCTGGTGATGGGACATGGGGCATGGGGCTGTGAGATTCAAACAATATATCATCAATATGGTTTTGGGGTGTTTTTGGAGAGAGTTAGAGAGTTGGTTTGTTGATGATTTCACTGTTCAATATATAAATATATATGTTGTTGTTTGTTTTTTTCCAGTCCTCTTTGGAGGTTGGTGATTTCCAAAAAAAATCCCAGAATCCTTGATGTTCAAGCCTTTTTTTTTGATTGATCATGCGACTCAACGAGCAGAAATCAGATGGTCTCAATGCTAAATCTGGGATATCTCTTGGGATGGACCGGTAAAGCAAAAAAAAGGCACTGACTTTTGCCAGTGAGTTCAACTTGTTGCAAATTGCGTTGTTCAGCAAACATCCTGTGGCGATTCCGGCAAGATATATGACCTCTTCTTCGTGTTTGTTTCTGTCCGTAGTTCCAGCTTAACTGTACCAAAGGTCCAAAGGTAAGCCATGGTAAACCCTGGTTATGTTGACCGATGGACTATATAACTTGTGTTTGCCCAAACTGATCATATAAATTGAGGAACATATCGTGTTCATGACAAAAACAAGCATTTTCCAACACATTCCCACGTATACGTCCAAGAAATTTTGCCTTTGTTCAACATTTTCCCATATATGTTCCCATAATATGTCTATGCCAACACACATTTGCCTGTTTCATCAAATTCCCATAATAATATATCATCATATATCTATCATTTCATATCTCATATTGCCTACATATTCCCATCATATATTTACAAACAAACCCATATTTACTGTGTTTTTTTCCCAGGCGTTTTCCGCGACTGATTTGCTGAGGCCGGGTATTGACTTTGGCCACTTTAAGACCGGCCACTTGTGCCTGGGACGATTTGAGCAAAGGGAGATCGCTGTGAAAATACGAATTGTACTGGGTAGGATGTTTTTTTTAATCCACACTATATATATATATTTATTTATTTATTTATATTTATGTACACTACCCAATGATATATACGTAGTAATATATATATATATGCATAATAGCTAAACATATAGCTATTATGTATTTATATATATAGGTGTATATATATATATATATGTATTTGTGGTTGCTTCTTGCTCTTAGAGGATACCCTTTATGTATATATATATATACATATGTACACATTACTGGGTAGTGATAATGATCAAAGGAAGTTTAGGGGGAGAAACTTCCGTGTTACGGACTTTTAGAATGTCAGGGAAAGAGTTAGTCAAAGAAAGAGTTAGTGAGGGAAAGAGTTAGTCAAAGAAAGAGTTAGTGAGGGAAAGAGTTAGTCAAAGAAATAGTTGGTGAGGGAAAGAGTTAGTCAAAGAAAGAGTTAGTGAGGGAAAGAGTTAGTCAAAGAAAGAGTTAGTGAGGGAAAGAGTTAGTCAAAGAAAGAGGTATTGAGGGAAAGAGTTAGTCAGAAGAAATGTTAGTTGGCGGGAAAGTAGTTCAGTCAAAGAAAAGAGTAGTGAGAAAAAAGTTATCAAAGAAAGAGTTTATGTCAAGACAGAGTTAGTCCAAGAAACGAAGGGTAGTCAAAGAAAGAGTTAGTCAAAGAAACAGTTAGTCAGGGAAAGAGTTAGTCAAAGAAAGAGTTAGTCAAGGAAAGAGTTAGTCAAAGAAAGAGTTAGTCAAAGAAAGAGTTAGTCAAAGAAACAGTTAGTCAGGGAAAGAGTTAGTCAAAGAAAGAGTTAGTGAGGGAAAGAGTTAGTCAAAGAAAGAGTTAGTGAGGGAAAGAGTTAGTCAAAAAAAAAGTTAGCAAAGAAAGAGTTAGTGAGGGAAAGAGTTAGTCAAAGAAAGAGTTAGTGAGGGAAAGAGTTAGTCAAAGAAAGAGTTAGTGAGGGAAAGAGTTAGTCAAAGAAAGAGTTAGTGAGTGAAAGAGTTAGTCAAAGAAAGAGTTAGTGAGTGAAAGAGTTAGTCAAAGAAAGAGTTAGTGAGGGAAAGAGTTAGTCAAAGAAAGAGTTAGTGAGGGAAAGAGTTAGTCAAAGAAAGAGTTAGTCAAAGAAAGAGTTAGCAAAGAAACAGTTAGTCAGGGAAAGAGTTAAAGAGTTAGTGCGGGAAAGAGTTAGTCAAAGAAACAGTTAGTCAGGGAAAGAGTTAGTCAAAGAAAGAGTTAGTGAGGGAAAGAGTTAGTCAAAGAAAGAGTTAGTGAGGGAAAGAGTTAGTCAAAGAAAGAGTTAGTGAGGGAAAGAGTTAGTCAAAGAAAGAGCAAAGAAAGAGTTCGTTAGGGAACGAGTTAGTCAAAGAAATTGTTCCCGCAATGTAAATGGGATTGCAAGTGGTGCTGGTGGATGAGTTGCCGATGGAGTTTTGAAGGAAGTCTCGCACGAAATGCGTTTTTGAGAGATAGCAGATGCACGAAACCCTATGTTTTTCCATACAAAGTCCGTCCCCGAACCTCGATGATCTACCTCTGCGGTGCGACGGTTGCGAGACTGTCTCGTGTGTGGTCGGATCATGCTCGGATCATGGGCGGATCATGCTCGGATTGGTTCCGCATTGTAAATGGGGTGTCACCTGTTTTTCGTGCATGTGCGGTCGACAGAATTCCATTGTGATTTGCAACTGTAGGATCGTTCCCGCAATGTAAATGGGATTGCAAGTGGTGCTGGTGGATGAGTTTCTGATGGAATTCCATTGTGATTTGCAACTCTAGGATCGTTCCCTCACTGTAAATGGGATTGCAAGTGGTGCTGGTGGAGGAGTTGCCGATGGAGTTTTGAAGGAAGTCTCGCACGAAATGCGTTTTTGGCGCTAGTGATTTTCCTTCTAAAAATCCTTTTAAAAAGTGCTTCAAAATCGTCTTTTTTTTCGCTCTGGCGTCGAGATCCGGTTTTGGAGCTACAATTTCCGACGCCGTTGCGCGTAGTTCTATTGTGTTTTGCAACTCAGTCTCCGCAGATCGCATTGTAATGGCTGCGTCAAGGTTGCTTCATGCTGTGGCTGCATGCGTAATACTATTGTCTTTTGCAGCTGGACTTTGTAAATCGTATTGGAGTGGCTGCATGAAGGCTGCGACAGTGATTTGTCAGCAGATTTTCTCCATTTTGGCGCTAGTGATTTTCCTTCTAAAAATATTTTTAAAAAGTGCTTCAAAATCGTCTTTTTTTCGCTCTGGCGTCGAGATCCGGTTTTGGAGCTACAATTTCCGACGCCGTTGCGCGTAGTTCTCTTGTGTTTTGCAACTCAGTCTCCGCAGATCGCATTGGAATGGCTGCGTCAAGGTTGCTTCTTGCTTTGGCTGCATGCGTAATGTCTTTTGCAGCTGGATCTCGTACATCGTCTTGGAGTGGCTGCATGAAGGCTGCGACATGGATTTGTTAGCAGATTTTCTCCATTTTGGCGCTAGTGTTTTTTTGTTGCACGTAGGTTTAGAGCAGTGGGAAGTGTGGGGCGTGAAGAGTGCAGTGTGAAGTGTGCAGTGTGAAGGAAGCAGTGGGAAGTGAGAAGTGTGAAGTGTGGAGTGTGAAGTTTAAGTTTGGAGTGCGAAGACAGCAGTGTGAAGTGTGAAGTGTGAAGTGTGAGGTTTGGAGTGTGAAGGAAGCAGTGAGAAGTGTGAAGTGTGGACTGTGAAGTGTGAAGTGTGAGTGAAGTGTGGAGTGTGAAGTGCGAAATGAGAAGTGTGAAGTGTGAAGTTTGGAGTGTGAAGTTTGGAGTGGGAAGGAAGCAGTGAGAAGTGAGAAGTGTGAAGTGTGGACTGTGAAGTGTGGAGTGTGAAGTGCGAAGTGTGAAGTTTGGAGTGTGAAGGAAGCAGTGAGAAGTGAGAAGTGTGAAGTGAGAAGTGTGAAGTGTGGACTGTGAAGTGTGGAGTGCGAAGAGCGCAGCGTGAAGTGTGAAGTGTGAAGTGTGAGGTTTGGAGTTTGAAGGAAGCAGTGAGAAGTGTGAAGTGTGGACTGTGAAGTGTGAAGTGTGAGTGAAGTGTGGAGTGCGAAGTGCGAAGTGAGAAGTGTGAAGTGTGAAGTTTGGAGTGTGAAGTTTGGAGTGGGAAGGAAGCAGTGAGAAGTGAGAAGTGTGAAGTGTGGACTGTGAAGTGTGGAGTGTGAAGTGCGCAGTGAGAAGTGTGAAGTTTGGAGTGTGAAGGAAGCAGTGAGAAGTGAGAAGTGTGAAGTGAGAAGTGTGAAATGTGGAGTGTGAAGTGTGAAGTGTGAAGTGCGAAGTGAGAAGTGTGGACTGTGAAGTGTGAAGTGTGAAGTGTGGACTGTGAATTGTGAAGTGTGAAGTGTGGACTGTGAAGTGTGAAGTGGGCAGTGTGAAGTGTGAAGTGTGAGGTTTGGAGTGGGAAGGAAGCAGTGAGAAGTGAGAAGTGAGAAGTGTGGAGTGTGAAGTGTGGAGTGTGAAGTTTGGAGTGCGAAGAGTGCAGTGTGCAGTGTGAGGTGTGAGGTGTGGAGTGTCGAGGGAAGGACACGGTCGGGACAGGTTGTCTTTGAACTATAGGTCATTTATGTTTGGGAAACTTCCGCCGCCGGCTTGCCCGGGTCTATGTTAAAGTATAATATATATTATGTAATGATAGGTTTAGCAAAGATGTTATCTTGAATTGGAGTGTTGTCGCACTTGGTGTTTTCACAAACACCACCCGGGTAAAGCCACAAAAAAATCACGGAGTATGGCCGTTGTGTCCTGGAGAAGTTGGCTGATGACTTGGCTCCATCTAATTCAGCTAATTAGTCAGCTCGATCTCAGCTAGACTTAGACCATGTGAGATTTGGATGACTACCTTCCCGGAAATCAATTGTAATGATGCAGAACATAAATCATGTATCATTGAATGATAGACATGAATCATTGAAATGCTGTGAAATGCATCTTAGTTTCATGTTCTGTCATCAGGTTTGACATGCAGTGTCAGAAGCATCTTTGTTGGAGCTCCGCAAGAAGATGGCCATAACAGGTTTCTCGAAGAAACGCAAGAAAACATGGCACTTGCCATGTGGTAATCTAGTATGACTTATGATAGAAACACATCAAAACACAAATTTCTATCACTCGATGTGTTTCTTTTTTTCCCATAGATTTCTAGATTTCTCGACGGTTGTGCCATGGCTTTGCCGGCAAAAACCATACGGGGTTCTTCAACCGGTACCCCGACAGGACCACGGTCGATCTCTCGAAGCGTGGCTTGGATGACGACGATTTCGTTTTCTTAGAGGACGCTGAGACCATCCTTTTCCATCCTTTTCCATCGAACGTGGCGAGGTAATGTGAGATAATGTGTGGTTAGTTTAGCCACTTCAATGGGAGAAGCCGTTGCCGTTAGTAAAAAGCCACGAAAGCCACTTCAAAGAGGGATCGAATTTCAGGGAGAAACGGCGAAAAACGCGGGTGATTGTTTGACCGATCTGTGAGATGATCCTCCGATATTGGGTAATTTAACATGATAAGCTCGAGAATGTCCAACTGTCAATGAGAAAACATGGAACAAACAATGACAACAACACCTGTAAATTGAGTGATATATAGCTGGTGTATAACACCTATCTGGTGGTTTCATTTTTTTATTTTCCATAATATATGGGATAATCCTTCCCATTGACTCATATGTTTCAAGATGGTTAAAACCACCAACCAGCTATAAATTAAGTGATATATGGCTGGTGTATCTGGAATCATCACCACCTGCAAAACTCAACGCCGCTTTTATCATGATTGTTAATAGGGGGTATTTTTGCTCCATGACCGAACCTTTCAGGATAAACGAAGAGTTTCCTTCCAAGTACAAAGTTGGTCTGGATTTGAAAGATGGGCAGCCAGCTGGAAGGTTCCATTTTGTGAAAGTGTTGCGTGGTCTTATTGTTTTCAATCGTGTTTATTGGATTTGGATGGAACATGTTTGAAGCATTACGGTTGGATTTAGGTCCTAAATCTTGGTATAACGATGAAATGATAGAAACTGACCAACATGTTTCCTCTAGATGTTGACCCATTCCAATAATATCTCGTGTGGTCCCGACATTTCTGTTGGGCGCTTTATCATCATGGTCGGATGTGCGGCCTCCCAAATTCCTGAACTATCATTTGCTGGATAAATATATCTGGAGGTTTCCATTACATGGATTTACCCCCAGTTCTCATCCATGTGATTTTCTGGATGGTCCATGAAATAAACATAAATCTAGCGATAAAGGGGTACCCCCCATGGAAGGGAGTCGCCTCCGACTTCAGCGACTCCTAAAAAACTCATGAGATTCGAGCAAAAGAGGGACAATGTTTTACCGAAATCGGCTTTGTCTGTGGCTTTGTGGCTACAAATCGCTTGTGTTCAAAAATCCCCTGATGAATTCAAACATGTCCCTTTAAAAAAAATTGTCCGTTGATGGATTAAATCCACCATAGGACCAGGACACACCTAAATCATACTATTGTTTGACAAAAATCTCAGTGTATCCCCATTGAAATCCTACCTTGGGTCTAGAACTTGTATTGCATACCCAGTACATTCCCATTTGTTGTCCCTATTGTTGATGGTTAACCCGATCGCCATGATCTTTAGACATCATCCTGACTGCAAGACTACTTAAGCTAAGTGCAGATTGGAGAAAATTTGGAATCTTTTTTGTGGTAAACCCAACAAGAAACCATTTCTAATTTTGGTTGATTTTATTGGATGTACCCTCTGGTAAACGTTTACATCACGAACTGGAAAGTCACCATTTTAGAGCTGGGTAAATCCACTTTTTTCAATAGCAAACTGTCACAAATTACCAGGCCGGGTAATCCTTGAAACTTGATGATGTAACATGACCCCCTCCATCAAAATGGTTCCTGGGATGGTTTGGCGCTTTGCCGCACAACGGGTTGAGCGCTTCACCGCCCGCTGGCGAGAGGAATGGCTTCGAAGATACGACTGTGTCGGGGGTCCAAGTCTAAAAATCGGGGGTCTATATAGTTCTGATAGCTATAAAATCCTATAAGTCACGGGACCAAAACACAATTTGTGATGTTCTTTTCCTTGTAGCTCCGACAAAGAATATAGGGTGCCTCGTCTCGGTGAATTGTGTCAGGAGAGTCAGACAGAATCAATGCCGTGGGTCCATGGCCCAAATTCTACCATTCGCTAGGGAAAATGGATGAAAATGGCCCATTTATAGATGTGCCACGATTTACCCAATGAAACATATAGGGATTTTCCCAGCCCAAAGGTCATGGCTTCGCTCCCAAGGTGACTGACTTGAACATCTCATGGAATTTTATGTCTAGAGATGGGATCCGAAAGCTGACGCGGCATATCAAGGACGCGCCGTCCCGGTAAGGCTTGGTTCAGCGTTCATGCTGAAGAAATGCTGATGTTGTATTGTACAAGTGTGTTTGGGTGCGGAAGTTTTGGATCATCGGATGCAGATATGCCCATGATGATATGTTGAATCTATATAAGACCAAGAACATGATGTGTGTCATTATACTTAATTGTATACACAAAAAAAACGTCTACATATTCATGAACCTGGTTAGATGTGCATCAGATAAGCGGGGTTCTTAATGGGAGATCCCCAAATCCTCCCAGGTTGCAAGACTAAACTGGTCGAATTTCGGATGATTTGGTGGCATGATCATTTTAGGAAACCTCCATATATATAATATAATATAATATAATATCATATCATATAATATCATATAATATAATATAATATATATAATATAGTTATATATATAATATAACATAAATATATAATATAGTTATATATATAATATAACATATATATATATAATGTATGTATATGTATGTATATATATATATACACAGGCATGTAATTGTTTTACAGATACATACATGTACATAAATGTGCACATGCTGCACATGTGTTTTGTTTGTACATGCAGCATGCATGTCTTGTTCAGATCCTGAGTTTGCTGGCAAGGCAGGCAGAGAAGGGCGGAGGAAAGTTAACAGCAGAAACATAATTATTATTCCATCATTATAGGCTGATTTGGATAAATTCCATTGTTCCAACACAATATAACCATATTACTGATGGACCATTACATTGTTATTTGATGTCAGATTAGTCCATCAATATATATATACTGGTCGGTGGTTTGGAACATTTTTTCCCATAATGTATGGGATAATCCTTCCCAGGGACTAATATTTTTTCAAGATGGTAAAACCACCAATTAGTATATATATATGTACATGATTGTATCATGTTAGATGGGTAGAAATGGGTTATTTTGGATATAGTCCATGATGCTGAGGATGATGATGATAATTTGTCGCCCACATCGCATGGGCTCCACCACTGGCGCCAGTTTCAAAAGGCTGCTCTGGGTAAACCGGCGTCAAGTTTAGCTAAGTCCTCTCATCTGTTGCTATCAATATATTACCCTCCAGTAAATTAACAGTTCGACCGTGTCAGATAGTGGTTGGAAGATTAGTTTCGACCAAAAATGGGTGATTTTCAGGGTCTACTTTATATAACTTACCAAGGCGTATATTATAACATATTTGCATATTGATATTGGTTATTTGCTCACCAGCTCCACAACAAGAAAATGCGGTTGGAATTTACCATGGGAAGTCCGCAGGAGTCGAAGGTCTTGACAAAGCTCAATTGTGCCACACTCAGCGAGGGCCAAAAAAAATGTTGCTTGAATTTCAACCACAAATGGGGACAACGCCAGAATGGATGGTTTATCATGGAAAATCTTATGGATGAATTGGGGGTACCCCCATTTTACAGATATGGCCCAACTAACAGTTATAAATGGAATTATAAGTTCTATAAATATAGGGTTATTTATCATTACAAACCCATTTATAGCTGTTAGTTGTGCCATCACTGTAGTTTCATGATCAGGTTTCCCACATTAATCACCATCGATGGTCTTTTTCAAGCCTTTTTAATATGTGTATCATGATGATTTATGATGTATTCGCATGGGGTGGCTCAAAATTTCGCGACCCATATGAGCTCACTATTGTGATATGTAAAAAAAACAAATCATGCGACCCGGGTCGCCATGTGGTGCGAAGCGGGAAGTTCGGTTCCCTAAGCACTCTGGTTTGGGATTGATTCAAAAGATTTGGACGACTGTTGTCAATTTCGCGCGACGCGCGTAGGCTATTCCAGTCAGCAAGTACGATATCGGACAACATTTCTTTCAATTTTTGCTACGTCTTTTCTTATTCGTACTTCTTCTTACTTATTATAGTTTTTTTTGTCTTCTTTTTTTTCCTTATTGTTTTTCTTTTCTTTTTTCTTCTTATTTTTTTCATTTTATTCCTGTTCTTCTTCTTTTGCTTCTTCTTCTTGTGTTTCTTCATGTCGTGGCTCTAACCCCTATAGGCCCTATACATATTATTGGGCATACCTCTATTTGGGATTATCTTTATTGTGACCCCCAGTCATGGATGGTGAATGGGATGGTTTATGGCATTGGCTTTACCGTATTGAGTCCATTCCCTGCTCATTATTTTCACTGCATATATATACAGTATATATATATAACCCCAATAATTGACCATATTTACGATATTGAGGTGTTTAATACATCCAATGATTTAATCTGATTTGCTTATAGTCTCTGGCAATAGTCTGGATTTCCAACATATGTGAAAACTAATTACTTTGAAATTGGACCCAAGTACCTTGAATGTTACATATCTGGTTGGTGGTTTGGAACATGAATCTTATGTTTCCATATTTTTCCATATATTGGGAATTTCATCATCCCAACTGACTAGCATATTTTTCAGAGGGGTAGGTCAACCACCAACCAGATAATCAAATCCCACTAGCTTCCCGTTTTGTGCCCATTTGATCCTTAACATCCACAATATGTCATATCCCCCATTTGATCCTTAACATCCCAATATGCTTTTATGGAATAATGTCCTTTCAGGACCCAACTATAAATGTGCTTTCATCCCATTATACTAGGGTTTTCATGGACCCAACCCCGTCGCCCTTTCTGAAAATCACCTCTCTCCGTGGGTTTTCGTCCCATTGGTCTCGTCATGGACCTTGTCAGGTGTTGGTCTCCCCGTGACCTTGGAGGCGAGGTGTGACTGGTCTGCGTACCAGTGGTACTTCCGAAGCAAATACTTGGATCCATAGGGAAGAAAATATTATGAACATATATATATATATATTATATATATAATGAATATATATATATGTGATATATCATAATATATCTTTAATAATAATAATGATAATACTAATAGTAATAATACTAATATATAATAATACTAATATATATATATAATATGGATCAAGTACCTATCAAAAAATATTTTATCGTTATAATTTATAATGGATCAACTATCCCATTTATCTGTTGTATTGATCTACAAACCAATCCATTTATCCATTTAATGGGATGTATAATTTGTTGGTGGATATGTGAATCATTTATTTGTATAATGGTTTATAGCCTATTATCTGATTATATAAATGAATATATATATATAATTATATTATCTGATTGTATATAATTACTTTTTATAGCATATTTTATATATAAATTCGATAGTATAATGCTATGAATTATCTGATTCTTGGAGGGATGACATAAGTCCCAGCCATGACTCGATGCGTTGAGTCAGGGGCTCCCCAAACATGTACCCCTAATGGAACATCCCATATCCATAGATTCCTACCCTCTGGTAAACCAACATAGCTATTGAAAATTGCCATTTACAGTGAGTTTTCCCATTAAAAATGGTGATTTTCCATAGTTATGTTAGTTTGCCAGAGGGTATCTTTCATATGTTTCATGGCCGAGTACCTCTTTTAAGTCTTTTTTTGTTTCAGAAAGGATATTTAGGAGAATAATGTGGTTAAAACAATAGTAAACCATCCCCCAGTTATCACCATATTTATAGGTGGTATCTAGTATCAACCATTCCCAGTCATTGCTGGTTTATGATATTGTTTTAACCACATTATTCCAATTATTAACCTAACCACTAGTAACCACTATTAACCATCATTAACCACCAATTAGCCACCATTAACCACCATTAACCATCATTAACCACTATTAACCACTATTAACCACCAATTAACCACAATTAACCATCATTAACCACCAATTAACCACCAATTAACCACTATTAACCATCATTAGCCACCATTAACCACTATTAACCACTATTAACCACCAATTAACCACAATTAACCATCATTAACCACCAATCAACCACCAATTAACCACCAATTAACCACAATTAACCATCATTAACCACCAATCAACCACCAATTAACCACCAATTAACCACAATTAACCATCATTAACCACCAATCAACCACCAATTAACCACCAATTAACCACAATTAACGATCATTAACCACCAATCAACAACCAATTAACCACCAATTAACCACAATTAACCATCATTAACCGCCAATCAACCACCAATTAGCCACCATTAACCACTATTAACCACTATTAACCACCAATTAACCATCATTAACCATCATTAACCACCAATCAACCACCAATTAACCACCAATTAACCACAATTAACCATCATTAACCACCAATCAACCACCAATTAACCACCAATTAACCACGAATTAACCACAATTAACCATCATTAACCACCAATCAACCACCAATTAACCACCAATTAACCACCAATTAACCACTATTAACCATTATCAGTTTCAATATCAGTTGACCAGGGATTTCTTTCACTTGATCCCTTGATCCGCCAGGGCTCGTCGCTGCTGGCGCGTGCGGTCGTGGAAAATCACACCCTGCGGCAAGTGGCGTGCGAAGTCCCAGCAGAGAAGGCTCCATTTCTGGTACTTTCTGGTAAACTAACATAGCTATTGAAAATTGCCATAGAAATAGTGGATTTTCCCATTGAAAATGGTGGATCTTTCCATAGTTATGTTAGTTTACCAGAGGGTATGTTGATAATATTTCTAGTACTACTGATCTACTGTATGTAAAAAAATAATCCATATTAATCCCTATTACTAGACCTTAATGGGCTATCATTATTTTGGTTGGTGGTTTGGAACATTTTTTATTTTCCATCATATATGGGATAATCCTTCCCATTGACTTTCATATTTTTCAAGATGGTTAAAACCACCAACCATATTTGATGGATCTTCGCAGACACTCCAAGCAAGGTGCCATCATTTTTTTTACCAGATGTTGTCAGATTTTATCGGATCAAATTCTTGTCAAGTCAACTTTTATATATATTTTCCTCTGGTAAAACATAGAAACAACTATGGAACATCACCGTTTTTCGTGGGTACCCTCTGGTTATGTCAAAATAGCTATTGAAAATGGCCCAGTCGAAATAGTGGATTGTCCCATTGAAAATGGTGGATCTTTCCATAGTTTTATGTAAACGTTTACCAGTGGGTAAATCAACTGCTATGGATCGACTGGAAGCCATGGCTTCATGGCTTCGCTAAAACTGATTTACGGTGCAGATCTTGGGAGACACAACAGATGACATTAACCGCACGCTAGGCCGCGACAACGGTGGTGCCCTGGTTTGGAAAAATGTTCAGTTGTACGTGCCTCCAATGAAACATCGTTTTTTTTTTAATCGTAGATATTAATCATGATATCTCCAGAATGTTTATTTTGGACAATTGATTTTATAATTGCTGGGTTTTTAATGCCAGCATAACTTGGGCCACCCCCCGATAAACAGCGTGCATCGAGGTTGCCCTTGGGACACTGCCACGACACCACGGAGAGACAGCAGGTGTGTTCCAAGATGTTCCAAGTGACCTGTCGCTCAAGAAAGGTGTCCCAATACATTTGGAAATGACCCATGATTTTGACATACTTTAGGGCATAAAAAAATGTTTGTTTTTTTTCAAAGGTATAAATTGATTGATTTTCTGGATATCATTGATATAATACATAGCCTCCAGTAAATTAACAGTTTGACCCTGAAAAGAAGCCTACGTTTTAGTGGAAACTCATCTGCCAGGCTCATTTTTTGAGTAGGGTCCATGTTAATTGGATCATAATGAAAAACTAGCCATGGTTATTTAACATAGCCGTGGAAGCCATGGCCCATAGAAATAGAGGGTTTACCGAACTTAAAATTGGGTGGATCTTTCTATGGCTATGTTAAATAACCAGATGGTACAATAAATATGTTGGTTCTTTATAGTTTATGTTGGATGGTGGTCCAAAGAGGTTCGTGAGACGACCTAAAAAAAATGGACACGCGGTGATGGAAAAACCGCCCTTTATCCATAGCCATGTCAGACTGGACCCCAAATCATCCAAGGTCATCAGACCGTTTTATGATATATTACCCTCCAGAAAAAATTAACATACATAGACCCTGCCAGATAGGGGTTGGAAGACTAGCTTCCACTATAAATTGGTCATTTTCAGGGTCTATGACAATTTACCAGATGGTATTATTGAAACCGATGGTTTTTGGGTCATTAGGAAACTCGAAGACCAACAAAATCATGTCATATCATCATATCCGTTTTTTTTCACCAACAAAACAGCATTAACCATGATTAAACCCAATATCGGGGGCTCTAACCTCGGATACCCCTCGGGGGGATGAGCATCCACCAGGTCTTCGAGGAAACAGTTTCTTCACTTCTAATATTGGATGAATGAAAACACGATTTCGGGCCCCAGAAATTGTTTTGATGTTCCAAGGTAAATTCAAATCCGAGCTTGACATTGATTGAAGTGCACGTTTAGGCGGTTTGAGCATTCCATTCGCCGATTTGAGCACGATCCTATTGTCCTTCCAGCACCAAACCTTTGTACTTTTGCGTTTCCGCGCAAGAGCGGACCCATCTGGGTTTGCTTGCGAATCAATAGGGTGGCTCTGGTAATTTAACATAGCTATTGAAAATCACCATTTTAAATGGGAAAATCCACTATTAATGGTCATTTTCAATAGCTACGTTAAATTACCAGGGGTATCTTACGGCAGTTTTGGGGTATCCATGGGTATTCCCCCCATTTTTAGGCACTAAAAGCAGGCCATGAATTCTGCCACCGGTCCCTGGCAGATGATTCAGCAGTTCGGAATGGGCTTGGCCAGCCACCCCACGCTGCAAAGCTTCGCGTGCACGCGGACGCCCAACTTGGAATATGTCTGGAAAGCCCAGGGATTCTCGATGGAGAATCATAGGGGATGATATGAAATACTGCTTGGTGGTGACTGGAACCATGGAATTTTGAATGACTTTCCATAATATATGGGAAAATAACTATAACTCTTGTAAACTAACTAACATAACTATAACTCATTATTTTTATTTCATATTAATTAATATGATAAACAATCATGATATGAAATACCCTCTGGTAAACTAACAGAACTATGGAAAGATCCACAATTTTTAATGGAAAAATAACTATACATGGCTATTTTCAATAGCTATGTTAAATTACCAGAGGGTAAGATGTTCTATTTGTTCACAGTTCATTAGTTCATTTTGAATTATATGAATCAAATATGATGAATATTTGAATCGAATCAATTTGTTATATGAATATTTGCTCATATAGATTCATATAATATGAACTGAATATGTGTTCTATATATTCTAGTTTGTTATATGGCTATGGATCAATACCTATTAATACCTTTTTTAGTGGGTTATTCACATCCATAAATCCCAGCTATTTTGATGTGAACAAAAAAGGGGTACTATTGGTTTTGACCCATTCCCATATCTTCCTGTATAACTATGGAAAATCACCATTTTTAATGGGTAAATCCACTATTTCTATGGCCATTTTCAATAGCTATGTAACAAATTACCAGATGAATCGCTGTCGCAGCTCGAGCAGCAAAAAACCCCAGATTTGCTGCCGGAGCTGAGGCCGGTCTCAATGACGTCAGAGAGAACAAGGCACAGTGTGTTTTTTTGATCATGAAGCCCCCTTCAAATCAGTGGCAGTATAGATATGGACTTTTCCCGGCATAATAGATATTCAATATGCAATAGAGAAAATACCTGGTAATCACCTAATTATAGTTCAGAGATTGTCATACCCATAGGATCCATGTATGGTATATATATACTAGTATGTATATATGCTAACATTGGGGGTATATTGATGGTAAATGTTAGCATATATACCAGCACCATGGATCCTATGGGAAGTGTCATGTTCACCGTGTTCACACACAAAAAGAAAGAACAAGTAACGTAAGATAACCCACTAAAATGATCTAAAATGGAGGTGCCCAACAAAAGTCATGGGGGTACTGGTAATTACCAGTTCTCATCCATGGTTATTTTCGGATTTTCCATGAAATAAACCATCCAACGTGAAGGGGTACCACCATACTGTTGACCCAGGATTTATGAAATAAGCCGTGGAAAACCACCAGTTTAATTGGTGGGGTACCATTACCCATAGGATCCATGTATGGTATATACGCTAACATTGGGGGTATATTGATGGTAAATGTTAGCATATATACCATACATGGATCCTATGGGAAGTGTCATGTTCACCGTGTTCACACCCAAAAAAGAAAGAACAAGCAACGTAAGATATCCCACTAAAATGATCTAAAATGGAGGTGTCCAACAAAAGTCATGGGGGTACTGGTAATTACCAGTTCTCATCCATGGTTATTTTCGGATTTTCCATGAAATAAACCATCCAACGTGAAGGGGTACCACCATACTGTTGACCCAGGATTTATGAAATAAGCCGTGGAAAACCACCAGTTTAATTGGTGGGGTACCATTACCCATAGGATCCATGTATGGTATATACGCTAACATTGGGGGTATATTGATGGTAAATGTTAGCATATATACCATACATGGATCCTATGGGAAGTGTCATGTTCACCGTGTTCACACCCAAAAAAGAAAGAACAAGCAACGTAAGATATCCCACTAAAATGATCTAAAATGGAGGTGTCCAACAAAAGTCATGGGGGTACTGGTAATTACCAGTTCTCATCCATGGTTATTTTCGGATTTTCCATGAAATAAACCATCCAACGTGAAGGGGTACCACCATACTGTTGACCCAGGATTTATGAAATAAGCCGTGGAAAACCACCAGTTTAATTGGTGGGGTACCATTACCCATAGGATCCATGTATGGTATATACGCTAACATTGGGGGTATATTGATGGTAAATGTTACCATATATAGCATACATGGATCCTATGGGTTATAGCATATAATTACCACTATTTCCAGGGAAGCCTGCCATTTCAAGCAGAATTTATGAATCCGGGTTGACAGTAGCCAGTCCATGGATACTCCATGCTATTTTTGCTGGCCTACAAGCAGACATGTCCAGCATGCTGTGTTTGATCAATTGATCCAAAATATCCAAATTTAGAGTGTTTTTTCGCGAACTTGACTTGGATTGTTTGGTGCTTTGAACAAATTTGGAGATCAGATGAACCTCGCTCTAAAAGGAAAACAAAAACGTATGTGTGCGCAATGTTCAGAAGTAGCATCACAATTGAGACGACTCTTTTGGGTGAAACATATTGGGATTATCCCAGAGGTTAGCTACCTCAGTTGCAGGATGAAACCAACCAATATACCGCAGTTCTGTTTGGAAACCAACCATGGATACCCTCACCATGGATACTGAATTCATCTTGTGCCGAATTTTAAATCATTGAACACTACTGAACATGCATGGAAAGTAACGGTTACTAACGATTCAAACTAGTTCATTAGATTCAGGGTTGAACACGGATCCTGGATATCATGACTAGTTTGATTCTTATTATTTATATATATACACATAACACGCTTACACTTCTTGGACGTGCGCCCCAGAAATCGAAATTGGGTAACATGATAACGAGTTAAGTATTGAATGTCCCCAGTTATATAGATGGTTATCTGAAAATTATGGGAAAACCAATGAAACCACTAAATCCACTGCTCCTCATTTCCCCTCTGACATTGCCACTTGACTCATCCCCCATTTTCAGATACAGCCACAATATCATGATTACTTGGATGCACATCCCACTAATATCGCAATTACATGCAATTACGTATATACAATTATCTCATATCATATCGCCATTCTGGCTAGTTAAGTAACCATTGTTCCTAATTCTTGATGGTGAAAAGATCTTGAAAGCACCGTTTCATGTCAACATGATGGTGGATTCTCCTCTAGTAATGAAAGATGGCCTGGAAAATCGTCAGCAATAGTCCGATGATTCATGATTTTCCCTTCTATAAACATCCATTTATAGATGATTTTCCCAGCTATAAACCCGCATTTACAGATGTTTTTCCCAGTGAACCTCCACTTGCAGGGTATTTCCCAGCCGCGCCGCTTGGCGCTTTGACAGATTCGAGCCTTCCCTCCGGAGCGCAGTGGCGGCTGGCCACGCACACAGGCGGGGCCCCGAGTGTTTGAGCGATGCAAAAAGGAATAGGTAATCCAACTGCTGTATATATATATGCAATTATATGATAATCATATATATTTATATTGTTTATATCTAAACCATATCATTTTCTAAAAGTCATATATATATATTGGTTACATATATATATAATGCTGATATATATCTAGGAAATCCATATTGGCCCTCTTTGTATTACAAAAAATCTACATATGGAGGTTTCCTAAGTCATGGGGGGGTACCCAAAGTCACCATAGGTTTCAATACTAAGTCATGGTCATCCATGACTTGGATGATTTGGGGTATCCCCATTTTAGGTGTCCTATGTGCGTCAAATATATGATGTATAGATATGCATGGGATGAAACAGGAATATGTACTAGTTTTTATCGGATGAAACTATGCTTTCCCCATCAGATACAGGATGAAACTGGATGAACTAGGAATAGAGGGACCGGTGTCCTTCAAATTCGCTTGTGCCAATCCAATTTGAATCTTCCCATTGCTCGAACGTTCAAAATGACCTATAGCTCATATGTTTTTAATCTTAATAAATACATAGTATAGCAGTATAGAAGTATAGACGATCTTATAAAAATAATCTTTATATGCTAGAATCATATGTTTCTGTATTCAAAGCCACTAATGTATAGTTATATCATTTTTGTGGCTGTGCAGAACCGTAAATCCCAGCGATTTTTGTTGAAGCCCCGGCTGAGGTGGCTGTGTACATGTGGTTTCTGGCGGCCACCAAGCCTGACTTGGAGAGGTGCGGAAGATCTGGATCTATGATTTATGGCAGGAGATGTTAGAACAATAGATTTTTGTTAATAGATTTTTAGAGGTAGGAGGTCTATTATTTAGGATCTGGATTTTGTTAATAGATTTAATAGGTCCTGTTAAGATTATGGTTATAGGCGCTATAGGTCCATACATTGATATCCTGTGAGTATGGGTCAAAGTTCAAGCCTCACGAGGGATCACAAATTTTAGGATTCATGTTTAATATTAAGCATCTAATTATTGGGGTACCCAATTTTGACCCATACCTATCTATGGTCAAAGTTATCATCGATCACGTTAGTCTGGGAGTGCTCCCTGGTGGGTCCGGAAAGTGCACCACACACTTTGAAACGAGAGGCCCCCCCCAAAAAAAAACAAAATAGCGATATACAATTATATACCTAGAATTGTATTTATTTAAAAGTAATTCGAGTTGACTAAACAAAGATTAGGACCTTCAGAAATTCTATACATGTACATATATATATATGATTATATATATATATATGATTATATATATATGATTATATATATATGATTATATATATATGTACTACATAATATAATAAATATACTGTGAATATATTTATATACACACTATAATATATATATATAACATGCATTTGTTCGCTATGTCGTTTTCATGTTATTCTCGTGCCTTTGTGCATGGTTGGACTATTATTGAACTGACCTTTCGGTATTGGTTACTCACCTTGCTGTGAAGTTCCCTAAGTGAAGTTATCCTATTTTTAGTTGTGGTCTACAACCTGGTCTAACTGAAGTCTCCTAACTGGAATTGCAACTGGTTTTAAATAGTTTTACACCATTTTAAACCCTGGTCTTCTCAAGTACCTAGTCGCTGGGGTTATCCCAATCATAAGTTACCCTCACTTACTAGCCAGCTACGATTCGTTGGGTATTCAGAAATCATCAGAAATAGATCTGAGGTGAAATGCGCGTCTGTCTGAAAATGGTGGATAACCAAAAGTTGTCATTCTAATAAGAAATTTATGATAGACCATGACGTCTATGAGACATGGGAGTGCCCGATTTTCAGAGAAAAGCATATCTTGTGACGACATGATGATTGGCTACAGAAGCTGTCAGTAGAAACTGACTGACTGGGAACCAGACAAATTTATACAATTTTTGCAATGATTACACAACAAACCCTCCGGAGATCCAACATGGGTTTGCTGGAAATTCCCACGAATTTGATTCTTTTCCCAGTATAAAGCCTCCATTTTCACAACGGGATCTCCCCGAAATCGCCATGTTTTGTGTTCAACGGAGGGAGACACAGCATCCGTACGGCAGGTTGACCCTCGGGGGCAGCGGCAAACCGAAGGTCGACTACCCCAAAGAAGTTTGTCAAAGCCGAGGATCCCAGTGATCCCAGTGATCCCAGGATGGGGAACGATGGAAAATACCTGTTCATTCACGGAGAATGTCGATTTTTTTTCGGATTCTTCGCAAGGTCGGCGTTTTAGAGTTGAATTTGGGTACCATTGAAGCATCAGATTATCAGATGATCACCATTTCAGGGGTACCTCCAGAATGAATATGAGTTCATCAGGGTTCATCCGGGGTTGACATGGGTTGACATTACAGAAGAATTGGTGGACCTGGCCATGAGTCGGGAAGGCTATTTGTCTCTATTCATGGCTGATTCTTGGGATAGAGCTGGAGATACTGCAAAAACAGATTTCGTATGAGGAATGCTATTTATGTGTTTGCCCAGATTCGTTTCATCTATGAGTGTTTGCTTTCTTGTTGTCAGTCATGGCTTTACTGTACCTGTCTTTGCAGTCCCTACCTGCGGAAAGTCAATTCACTTTGCCAGACACGTGACTGTGGGTCACCTGATAGTATATGTTCATTCTGATCAAAAGTATATAATAGACATGAGTTGGTCTGAACATTGTTTTTTTGCCGTTGTTTTCCCCCGAGATGGCACTTGGATAAGGAAACTCATGATAAATCATTGTTTTTTTGAAGTACCCGGCCTGGTAAACATACAAAAAACTATGGAAAATCACCATTTTGATATGGGTAAATCCACTATTTCGACTGGGCCATTTTCAATAGCAAACTGTTAGTTTACCAGAGGGTACTCAAAAATCTTCAGACAAACCCAACACGCACGCGACCCATCCTCATGTCCAGCAATGCGCTGAACCGAGTTTCAAATTCCACCGAAAAAGAAGGGGAGCTGCCGTATATAGATATAGTATGTTATAGTAGTAAAGTCTATATATGATTATATTAAACATTATTAAACTATATACCTATGATTCAAATATCAACATACCTTTGTTACCTGTGTTACCTATGTTACCCATGTTACCTATGTTACCTATATGTTATACCTGTCAGTTTTCCGCTGATCACCAATTCCCCAGGGCCCACTTTTAAAAGCCGCGGCGCCGAGGTGCGAACCCAGATCTGATCCCTGCAACGTTGGGCGTCTTGCACGACGCAGGCCATCGGCTGCAACAGGCGCGAAGACAGAAAGGGGCGGATGGGGGAGGAGTAGCTGTGTTTGAAAGTTGGAGATGTATTACAACATGTGTATATCATATGATGTATTATAAATTATATTATATATTTATATTATTATTATTACTATTATTACTAGTATTATTTTATTTATGATTATTATATATATTATTATATTTATTATTATATATATTATTATATATATTATTATATATATATATATATATATTATTATATATATTATTTTATATATTATTATATATATTATTATATATATTATTATATATATTATTATATATTTTTATTATATATATTATTATATATATTATTATATATATTATTATATATATTATTATATATTTTTATTATATATATTATTATATATATTATTTTATATATTATTATATATATTATTATATATATTATTATATATATTATTATATATCTTTATTAAATATATTATTATATATATTATTATATATTATTATATATATTATTATATATATTATTATATATATTATTATATATTATTATATATATTATTATATATTATTATTATATATATTATTATATATATTATTATATATATTATTATATATCTTTATTCTATATATTATTATATATATTATTATTTATTATTATATATATTATTATATATATTATTATATTTATTATTATATATATATTATTATATATATCATTATATATATTATTATATATATTAGTATATATATATACCCTTACTATTATTACTGTATACATTTATTTTATTATGTTATTATTATATATTATAAATATGTATTGTACATGTATATCCTTTCCATCTTATTTTTCGATTCCACCCTAGAAACACCAAGGTTTAGTATTGAATCTTGTCATTTTCAGGGCCCGGTCTGTTGGTTCCATCAGACCCGTGTCCTCTGCCATGATCAAACCATATTCTACCCTCTGGTAAACATACAAAAAACTATGGAATATCAACACTAAAAATAGTGGGTAATTCAGCTATTTCGACTGGGCCATTTTCATTACTGTAGCTATGTCAGCTGAATTACCCACTAAAAATTACCATAGAAATAGCTACCAGAGGGTATCCCAGGTGTCGCCCCAAAAGATGGCTTTTCGCCAGGTGTCGATCGCACTACCTCTGCACTACGCTTCACGTGCCATGGAGCTGCTGAGAGTATCTCAGCGCGGTTTGGTCGGAAAATCTTCACCGGAAACCATCGATTTTCGCATGAAAGATGGGGCGAAACCCTGTAAATGTTCCCTTGAACCCATCGAACTGTGGCCCAGGACTTGGTGGACATAACTAGGCAAACTCAGATGGGTTTATGGGGAATATAAAATTGTTACTTGGGTTTATAAACAAGCTTTATTTATATCACTGGGTGGGCACGGACTTGTATGTTCCATTTGTTCAACATCATGCAACTTTGGGATCTCTCTGTTGAGGTAAGAACCAGGGATATCAGGGTTCTCTATATGTCCTTTTTGTTGTTGATGGGTGGGGTATCATGATACTATACTATACTATACTATATTTATGATATTGCTATACAATGGATATCAGTTGGTTTATCCATGAAACGTTGGATATCAGTTTGGTGTTATAATTGCCATACAATGCACTACAAGAATCCCTAAGGCAATGTTTCTAGTCGTGCTGTTTAGACTTGTTGCATCTCCTATTTTTACATGGATTTTGACCGATAACTTATACACCATCGAATTTCACCACTAAAAATAGCGAATGCTATGGATTTAAGATGATTTAAGCAATAAAACCAAAAAGCAGAAGAAATCATTTTTTTAAACATGTTCCCTCCAACCCGGACGTTGCTCCACACCTCAAGAGAATCATCATCATCATCATCATCATCATCATCATCATCTTTCTGGTGCTTGATAGGGAATGGGAGAATGATCCAAAGAATCCAATCCATATCCTCAACTTATCTTCCTAAAGGGATCAACATTTGCCACACCCTCTGACTTTTATGTTGATGATAATAAGAACATGAACTTATCTTGTTGAGGGGTCAAAATCCGCCACCCCCTCTGACTACTACGTTGACAGGGATCATTACATCATATCTTCATAAAGGGATCAAAATTTGCCACCCCTCTGACTTATATGTTGATGATAATAAGAACATGAACTTGTCTTGTTAAGGGACCTACGTAAATCCGCCACCCCCTCTGACTACTACGTGGACAGGGATCATTACATCAACTTATCTTGTTAAGGGATCAAAATTTGCCGCCCCCTCTGACTTTTATGTGATGTAATATATGATATATGTGCTATGTACTATTACATAATTCGGCCGCTTCTGATTCCGACGCGGAGCAACATAGGGGTTGCAGCGAACATGCTTTACCCTCCGGTAATCAAATGTGGCAAGCGAACAACCCCTATAAATAGAGCTTTACAGTTGGGAACATCATGGAATAAATGGATCATTTTCCAGCTAGTAGCCTTTTTCTTTACCCGGTGGATCACGACAGATTCCGCGCAGCCGTTGGGTTCGATGGGTTTCCTTACCGAGGTGTTGACGGTTTGTGTCAGTTTGAGAACTTTGAAACTGTTGGGCTTCGCTTCTGTCAGAACCTCGGGTGACATGTGGCGTTTTTTCATCACCAACGAGCCTCGATGTAAATGACAAATGACCAAAGGCAAATTGACGAGTTAAAAAAAACAAGTCAAAACGTGAGGGTATCATGATATATATATATATATTATAGATATATCCGTTTTGTATGTATATTAAATAATGGGTCTATAATGTGTGTATAATGGGGATATATTCGAGAAATCATATTCAATGATGCATATATTCATGTATCTATGCGGGTCTATATAGTCGTGCAGCTGTTTCATGAAACCATGGTTAATTCCATTTTGGCATGTCGACCTTCGAGTCTAGCCATGCCCAAATTATGTCATTGTCATCGTCATCTGTATGTAGTTGTTTGCACCAACTTAGCTATCGAACGGGGGCCTCACATTGTCGAGGATGATTTACTAATTCAAAAAACAAATACCCAAGTAAATGAAACACCCAAAAAAATATCAAAGTCAATCTTTAGGTCTACAGGGACACAAAGATGGTCATAATGGTCTAAGTGTACATCTAAAAAAATATCATGTACACAAAGATGGTCATAATGGTCTAAGTGAATAACTATGGTTTATGGTACGCAAATAACGAACTAGTTACTGGGGCGAATCTAAACCAATTAGTAAATCATCCTCTACAGTTATGGCCATTTGTCAGTTATAAGTACTTATAACCCCATTTATAGAATGTATAATCCCATTTATAACCAGTTATAACTGATAAATGGCCATAACTGTATGAAATGGGGAGCTATGAGACTCCCACTTCAAAGATTCCCGAGGCCACCTTCAAAGATTCTCAGCTGCCGCCTGAATGGACGTCCATCGGCAACGCGCCAGGGAAGCCCAGGGAAGCCCAGGGCCCAGGGAAGCCCAGCCCAGCTGCAACGGAAAGTTGGCATGGCAACAGAAAGATATGGTTTCTTTATAGTCATATATAGTCATATATATGTAGTATTATGGGACATATATATATATATATTCTATCTCTGAATATCATATATCTGAATATATCTGGCTAAATTATAAGGACCTCACTGTTCTCCCGAGCCCTGGAATCATGGTTAATAAGGGGAATCATCCCAAAATTGCCCAGATATATAGAGGATTTAAAGATGTTTAGGGGCGATCATAGCTATGGTTAACATTGGTTAAGTGGTGATGTTGTTTAATGTTTATATCATAGTGTCTACAACTGGTTTTTTATGGTTTTTCACCATGGCTTCATTTTTTGGTTAGCTCTAATGAGGGTAATGAAACATCGAGAACCATGGCTGATCCCAGTTCGCAGTTTCGATCCATGGCGATACATCGATATCCCCAACTGGATAGGTCGGATAGCTAGTGGAAAATCCTCAGTTCTTTGCGATGTAAAATCAGAACATCACCTGCCAGCAAAAGAAAATCAGACGGTTCTGGACTACCACAGATTGATCTGAAATTAATGGGGGAAGTCTATTTTGTACTTCGACGTGAAGGATGGATGGTTAAGAGTCAAAGCATGGTGGTAGGGTGATTTCCACATACTTGGACCATTCACCAATGGGGGTGTTTGATATGGGATGGGCTATTGATGATGGAATTGTAACAACACAAACATTGTCTGGTTGGTGGTTTGGAACATTTTTTATTGTTCCATATATTGGGAATGTCATCATCCCAACTGACGAAGTCATATTTTTCAGAGGGTTGGGCTCAACCACCAACCAGTTGTGGATTGTGAATAAATGTCCCAATTGTTCGGGGCTAGGGATGAACTGGATGGGATTATTCAATCCACCAAAAGGTGCAAACCAAATCTGGTCCATGTTTGGCTGATAGGTCTTACGGTGTATCTCTAAAACCGCTATGATAATTTTCATTAACTTTCAAATCGTGTGTATGGGTCAAAACAAAGTTGCTGGTTCTGGATCAAAAGGAGTAATGAAGTACTCAAAAAAACAGATCATTCATAGAAAGGTGTATAGATCTATAATATATGTTATTATGTTTCTGTTATACGTTCTACGTATTCTATGTATTTCCTACATGACATATTGATATATATATATACATTGCAAAATCTCAAAATATCTTAAAGATACCAGTCCATTTGCACGTTCGGACCTTCAAGTCTCACCCATCTCATATACATATATATATATATATACACATGGTTTGCCAGGCAAGCATGCCCATTTTTTAGGATATGTCCTCATAAATACCGATTTACCCATTGGATCCATTCATATCCATTCCATTCGCCATGGCAAAAAGTGGACGGTAAACCCAACATAAAACACCCGAGATTTTCGCCATTTTTATGGGTGGGATTTCAACCATCCCCAGTCATGGTAGCTGTTTCTGGCAGCCAAGGTTGACCACATACCAATTTTCATACGTTTTCTCTAAGCGTACCCTCTGGAAATAACTGACATGGCTATTGAATATTACCATCTGAATATTTAACATAGCCATGGAAAATCACCATGTTTAATAGGTAAACCATCTATAAATGGGCCATTTTCCATATGTTAAATAATCAGACGGTACCATTTATAGTTGATATTAAAACATGGAGATGTTCCATAGTTTTTTGTATGTTTAACAGGCCGGGTAAACCAATCCAACACTGGCGCTGTGTGTAGACGGCCTTTTTCAAACCAACAAGGCCTCGGTGGCTTTTTGAAGATCGCTTGCAGCGCAAGAGGACCGGCAACCATTAAAAATGACTTACCATCAATTGCTGGGATGTTTATTTTTTTCAATCCTGCAAGTTTTGGTGGTTTAGTAGAACTATCTGGGTAAATTATAGCGACCTCATTGCGACCGAGCCCTGGGAATCATGGTTAGTAAGGGAAATCATCCCCAAATGGCCCAACAATTCAGGTTAGTGAAATATGATAATTTACCAGAACTATGAAAAAACTCGGATTTATGCTGGATGTAGATACAGTTGAATGGGTGAAAGACACTAAACAGCCCAACGCTGCACAGCCGCAGAGCTCACCTAGCTCCACGTGCCTGGCATGAGCTGACACCATGGCAGGACACACTGGCAAGCACTTCATGGTTTATTAGCGGCAGCTCGGTGCATGTTTGGTTGCTGCCTTGCTCATCTTGCTCACAAAAAGGGTGGATTGATGAATTATCTACATCTGGTTGGTGGTTTGGAACATGTTTTATGTTTCCATATATTGGGAATAGTAATCCCAACTGACGAAGTCATATTTTTCAGAGGGGTAGGTCAACCACCAACCAGACATTTTTTTTTGGGTGGTGTCCCATGGATTTTCATCCCTTACCCAATAGCCAATAAAGACATATAATATAAAACATGATGATTTTGGGCCGGCTTCATATAATTGGCATCCATTTTGAGCCGCCCCAACCACTTCTAGTGCGTGCTTGGTTGCGTTGGTGGTCCAAATGTCCTCAAGTAGTGGATAACTGGATGACCCAGTTCCAAGCCCCTCATCGCAGGGGATTACTTGCTGGTGCATCCGACTTATGGTAAATAATGTCAAGCCTGGATTAATAAACCCCTAGCCCGGCTGTTGAAAATTGGGAGGGTACCAATTAAGTATCATATCAGATCACTATGTGGGTTGGGTACCCCCATAATAAGCCATGGTAAAAATGTATCATCCCACTTCGGTACTCCTAACAAAAATTTGGGGGGTCGACCCCCTGGGAGAGGTCCCCCAACAGTATTTTTTTTCAAGTTGATTTTCCCTTTTTTGAACATAAAATCGGGTTGGGTACCCTGATTCGGGAAGAAGTACCTTGGGTTCTGCTGATTTTATCTAGCATAGACTGGGGCCCAACCCCCCCTGGAGCAAATGGAGCTGAGTAGGCAGGGTATATGGTTTTATTTCTAGCCAGGTTTCTTCTGTATTTTGCAACAAAACCAGCACATTTTGAACACTTCTACCTTTTGCATTTTTTATGGTGATATATGATGATAAGGAACATTGATAAGGAACATTGCACATAGAAATTCATGTCATATTCACCATGGTTTTTAAAATATTTTTATATCTCCTACAGATTCCCACCCTAACCATCACCTCGCAGCATCACATCCACAACCATCCACAGATCCACCAGCAGGATGTCATATGGTGCCTTGGGAAAAGAAAACTGGTCATGTTTTTGCTGGTCATTGTTTCCCAGAGAGGTTGCATGCCTGTGATTTTATTTGGGTGCCCCAACCTGTGGCACATGGGCCACAAGAAAAGAGAACAAGGAGGTAACCCTTCCCCAGCGAGGCCTCAATAGAAATTCCAATCCCCAACACATAGCTGGGAGTTACAATCCCCAAGGGTCAGCCTTCCGCTCGACTGTGGCACCACTCTGCTCCTTCTCAACCTTCTTTGTCCACTCCGCCTGTGGATAAGGAGGGATGGGTATAGGAATTCCCAGAAAGCCCAAGCACATCATATACATCATCCAGCACAATCATCATACCCAAACAAATAGCAACTAATCTATCCAAACTAACCACACAATCAAATCAGCGAAATGTCCATCAACCTAATCACTGTGAACAAAACTTGTTGGATACTGGTTGGAATCTTGGATATTAATAGATACCAGTAGTACCGCGCAAGGCGGTGGCGGAAGTTTCAAAAATAGGAAACCTATAGGAGAGGTTGGTTGTTGTGAATCAGGGATGGCAGAGCGAAGCCACTGATGGACTGAAAGGTGCTTGATCTCTCTCTCTCTCTCTTTCTCTCTCTTTCTCTCTGTTTATCCCTGTTTCTCTATCTTTCTCTGATTATCTACCTGCCTACCTACCTACTGATCTATCTGTTTATCTGTTTATCTGTTTATCTGTTTATCTGTTTATCTATCTATCTATCTATCTATCTATCTCTCTATCTATCTATCTATCTACCTATCTATCTATCTATTAGTCTATCTGTCTGTTTGTCTGCCTGTCTGTCTGTCTGTCTGTCTGTCCGTCGGTCGATCTATCTCCCTATCTATCTATCTACCTACCTATCTATCTAGCTGTCTA